TATTCTCTAGTGTCTCAACTTCTCAGCTGACTGTCCACACACGAAGGCCCAAAAGCCTCATACGCCCCCACAGATGGAAGGAGGCAGAAAATCAAAAGCTGTCCATGAAAGGGAAAAGGATCAACAACAAATGGGTACCCCAAAAAGCCAAAAGTCACACAAATATCAAACCAAAAGGTATTGGTTCCCTGACTGGTAATCAAACCCAGACCACAGTAGTGAAAGCACAGAATTTTAACTACTAGACTGAAAGGTGGAGCAGCTTTATTGTGAATCCTATAGACAGTTTGAGCATATATATTATGATTTTCACTTTGTGTTAGGTTAGATTTTCACTTTGTAATTTTGTCAAGAGAATTTCTAAGGTTAGCCATGACACTATTATATGTCTTTATTTTAATTTGTTCTGTCTATAAACACAAAGAAGGCAATTGTTTAGAACCAAGCAACAAGGGTTGAGATGACAAAAGCCCACAGAGATGGGACTTTTTAAGACAAACTCCCCTGACAGCTTGACACATTCATAACAAAAAGTATGCTAGTTAAAATCTTACATGTCTCACGTCCCAGCCATTTTCAGACTGGTCACCTTATATGACCTGAAAATCATGCCTCATAGATGGTGGAGACCAAGAGAGAGTGCTCTCACTTGGTCACCAGCCACACTTTCAAGGACATAAAACAAGATGAAAGGGGAATCTCATATGGTTTTTATTTTTGGGGCCCACAACAAAGTTTATAAGCTGTTCTGGTCCAGAACTATAATACTAACAAGTCCACAAGGCTGGCTGGAACAATGGGCTTATAAAGGTTTTAGGCCTATGTTCTATCTCATGCTTGGTACCCTTCTTTATGACATAACAACACAGAAAGACAAAGAAAGAAAAAGTTGATTTCTGGGACAAAAAGGATCAAATAATATGAATACTTAAACCAAAAATTACACCAGAGTCACAACACCCAAGACTAGTCACACAAATCCTTTTCTCCCATTAATCAAGATTTTGCAGAGAAAAAAGAGACAAACAGGGGTTTTAACTGTCAACTTGATCAGATTCCACAGAAAGAGAGGCCAGAAGCTTGGCTGGTAAGAAATTCTTGTTCTTCTGGCAGCTAGTCAGGTCCTGGGTTCCCTTCACTGTGGCTTGTAGAAGAGCAGAACAGTTTTGGTATCCTGCTCACAGCACCAAAACCGTAGGAGCCAAGCAAAAACTTCCCCTTTGCCCTCTGAAGGTCCACTGAAAAATCAACTGATAAAAGGCAGCTTAATAGGAGAAATGGCACAGAAATTTATTAACATACCCACAAAGGAGAACCACAGAGTAATTATTCCTCATGTCATTTCTTCTTTTAATTAGCTTTTCTCAGCTGACGTTTCAACAAAATTTCAGAGGGCAAAGGGGAAGATTTTCCTTGGCCTCTACAATACGAATTCATTCATTTGCTTGTTCATTCAACAAATATTGATTTTGTGTCTACTTTGTGCCAGACACTGTTCCAGGTGCTGAGGATATGCAGGGGTGTGAGATTGGTAGGTTGGAGGAATATGAGACATGAAGCAGGAAAACAAGTTCAGTGGCTGTTGTAGAAATTCTGGTGAGAAATGATGGTGTCTAGTAATGTAGTGGTAGTGGGGTTGGAGAGAAGGGCCACATTGAAGAAATATTTAGGAAGAAGTTGACAGATTGTGTGTGAGGCATTGGTGAGAGGCCAGAGATCAGGATGACTTCCAGGATTCTGGCTTTGGTGCCTCAGCCTGTAAGATTCGGAATACCAGAAGGGAGCAGATGAGGGGACTCTCATTTCTTCCATTTTGGATATTTCATTCGGTACCTGGAGCATCCAAGTGGAGTTCTTCAGAGGAGAGTTAAATTTATGGTGTTGGCACTCAGAGCAATGTTACTTGAGTTAGAGATTTGATAGCTGAAGCCACAGGAAGAAATGAGATTATTTAGGAAAAGTGAGACAGAAAAGAAGAGAAAATTATCAAATTTAATTGCTGGATTGAAGAAGAGAAATCTATTTTCTTCATTTACATAGGAATAAAATGACAGAAGCCAGTGGAGAATAGAAGGTTAAAGAGGAAGAGCTTACGAGTGCCCAATGTTGGTTAGGGGCCATGGGAAATCTTTCCCTTTGCCTTCTGAAGTTTTGCTGAAAATCACTGACAAAAGGTAGATTACTAGGAGAAAAGGCATACACATTTATTTGGTTAGAGTTATACCTGACACAGGAGCCTTTAGAATGCGGACCCAAAGATATAGAGGAAACTGCCCATTTTTATCGTTAGGTTTAACAAAGTATGGGCAGCTATGTAGAAGTATGATTGGACAAAAAGGGTATGATCTAATGCTAAAGACTGAGTGGGGAAACACAGAAAGGCCTGTCTGTCTAGATTCTTCTTGGCATCTCTGAGAATGGATTTCTTCATTCTGGGTATGGGGCAGGATGCTCTCTGGAATGAGGGTCTTTAGACCCACAATCAAATAAGGTAGGTCAAATAATTTTTTTTATGACTGATTTTTACACAAAAACGTTGGAGGAACGTTAGGATAATACTTTCAGGTTTTATGGCTGGTGTTGGGGAAATGGGGTTCTGGTTTCTATGACCTGCCTTGAGGAAGAAAAATTCTAGTTTCTAAGGCTAGCCTTGGGAGAATAAGGGGCCAGAGGCAGGAGGATAGAGGGTCAGAGAGATTTGCTTCTGAAGCCTTTGTATTGGAATATTGTTTTTCTGGGATCCTACAGTTGCAGAGATGTGAAATAATAGTAGGATTCTGAAGAGTCCATGAAAGTGCACCCTTTCCTGAGATTCAGCACTCTAGATGCTGCAGTGGGTGTATCCTGCCCGAGGCCATTAAACTAACGAATAAACAACCACTTCTGGGAATCCAGTGCTAAGCAATCGTCTCGTTATAATTGTATTATCCATCTAAATTTGCATATTGGGAGGAAAATAATAACAATAATAATTGCTAATATTTAGCACTTACTATGTTCCAAATAAACACTTTACATGGATTATCTAATTTAATTATCTCATATTGAGGTAGATCAGCAGGACTTGTTTTCCAAACACTGGTCACAACCTTGCTAATCAAAACAGGAGGCATTAAAGAAATCAGCCAAATCAGCTAAAACCAAGAGGGCAATGAATGTGACCTCTAATTGCCATTGATCTTTGTTATACACTAATTATAATACATTAGCATGCTAAAATACTCACACTGGTGCCATAACAGTTTACAAATGCCATGGCAATGTCCAGAAGTTACCTTATATGGTTTAAAAGAGGAGGAACCCTTGGTTTTGAGAACTCCTCATCCTTTTCTAGAAAATTTATGAATAACCTGCCCCTTATTTAGCATATTAAGGAGTAGCTATAAATATAGTTAGTCAGCAATCCATGAGTCCTACTCTGCCTATGGGGTAGCCCTGCTCTATCTATGGAACAGCCATTTTCCTGTATTCTGTTGCACTTAATAAACTTGGTTTGCTTTCACTTTACTCTGTCGCCTCACCCTTGAATTCCTTCCTGCATGAAGCCAAGAACTCTCCTGGGCTGAGGCCCAGTTTTGGGATTCACCTGCATCATCTTTCCTGGAGGGAAAATTAATCCCATGTTGTTAATCCCATGAAGGGATTAACAAGCTGAGGGGACCTGCGGGAGACCTTCACTGGACCCCCACCCCCACCCCCACTAACATCAATCAGCACCATTTGCCCTTCATGGATAGGTGAGTGTCTTCTTCGTTCCCCTTGCTATTTGGGCAATTGTTTCTATTTTATGTAAGGTAGGACAGTTTCATTGTTTGTTTTGCATTTTTTCTTTCTTTCCTTTTTTTCCCCCAAGATATAGTCTTGCTCTGTCACCCAGGCTGGAGTGCAATGGCACGATCTTGGCTTACTGCAAACTCCGCCTCCCAGGTTCAAGTGATTCTCCTGCCTCAGCCTCTTGAGTAGCTGGGATTACAGGCATGCGCCACCATGCCCGGCTAATTTTTGTATTTTTAGTAGACACGGGGTTTCCCCATGTTGGCAAGCTGGTCTCAAACTTCTGACCTCATGATCCACCCGCCTCAGCCTCCCAAAGTGCTGGGATTACAGGCATGAGCCACCGTGCAGGCTGCATTTTTTCTTTTGTTATTATGAGTGATCCCCCATTGTGCTGACTTAGGGATGTTGGAGTCATGTTGTTCTGTGTCCCCAGTTGTGTTGGAATTGTCCCCATAGGATTGTGGTTGAGAATCCCACCATTGAGGACCTTGGGCTTGTACCTTTGGGGTTCATTGTTGTCTGCCTCTGGGTTGTTCTGGGATATGTAGCATTTGGTGTGGGGGACCCTCATTTGTTGATGCCTGGAGGCCCCAGGTTTTTCAACATTAACTGGTTTTGTCTCTCTAAGATTGTGGGTTAGAGTCCCACTCGAGAGGGATCTAGGTATCCCCTCTAGGATTGTGGGTTAGAGTCCCATCCTTGGGAGATCTTGGTCTCTGTCATCATTTTTTCTTGTTGTCTTTGTCATCCCACTTTTTCTCCAAACCAAAATGCTTTCTTCACTTTTTGTGGAATTCAGACTATAAGAATCCTGTTTCCTTATTTTAATCTCTCCTTCAATAATTTGCTTATTAAAACACCTCTTTTGTTGCATTCCATTTGCTAGTGGATGCAGTCATCACTCCACTGCCCACTCATATCTCATAATTCATTTTTGTCATGCCAAGCTAACTGTACTTATGCCTTCTTTGCAGAAATTGGTGGCGATTGCCCTACTGACCTTTCTTGAGGGAAAAGGGAGGTAGGCATTTGAAAGAAAAATTAACTAGGCTCTTGCTAGATTTAGAAAAACTTCTGTGTCTAGTGGAGATCCTTGTTAGACATGGGGACATGGCAAGCATCTCAAAAGACTTGCTGCTAGGGTGTCAAAAGCAATAGGGATCAAATTCAAATTAAATGGCTTAAAGAGAAAGAGACCCATTTTCTTTTTTTTTTTTTCCTCATGGAAGAAAAACTTTAATTGCTGTTTCAAAAAACATCTGTATGAAGTAGAAATTGGTTTCAATAACATTAGTAAAGAATATGTTCTAGAAAGTGGAGGTAACTGGATGTAAAATTATGGCAGCAATTTAATAGAACGGTCCCAGACAGTTAGGCTGAGGCCAACACTTAATGAGGATGAAAGCTTTGTCTGTGGGGAATTTTGGATTATATTTGGAGAAATATTATACTGTGCATAAACCAAATTGAATTGCTCTCACAAGTGTTATAAAGTTTCATACAGTAAAAGGTTTTCTCTACATGCACTTCAATTTCACAGCAAGGGTGGCAGAGAATACCTAAACACGGAAGAGAGCATTTATGCGAGATATCTAATTCCTTGATATAATAATGCATACAATTCAAAATGATTACACTATCATTACATATAGGGCTTTCTGCAACTACTCAGTGGTGGTTATGGAAAGCACTGCCCCCAGCATCAACATCTAGAAAGCATCCACCACCTTCTTATGTGTGTTCTCTCTCTGCATTTTTTTCTTCATTTTTCTTAATCAACTATGCTGTTATTGCTGCTTCTTAGCAAAACTGGTAAAAACAAAATTGTAATCATTGAACATAGCACTCTGGCAATCAAGACGCTTTAAACCTTCAATCTTTGAGGTGAAGAAAACATGGTGTGACATTTAGAACTCTGATTAACAAAGTGGTCACAAATTTTCCTGGCTTGAAGACTTCCACAACTTTCCTGATCAGGTCACCATAGGAGGTGACTTAAGTTTGTTTTAAAGCTAACATAAGAAGATTCTGGTTCTGGAGTCATGTGAATAGTCCAATAAGTTCCATCTGATTTCATTCCATTCATCGAATACCCATAAGGATTGAACATTGTGGCATTAATGACAGAACCTGGTATCAGGTCACGAATTCCACTCTTACAAGTGACATCCTTTGCAGTAACGCCATCTTTCATGTAGAACTGGTCCATAACTGCAGGGTCAAGCTCACTCATCAGAATTTCCAGGGTTTGATCTGGCTGACTGATTACCTTTCTGGGAAATGCAGAGTACATAAGTACCAACAGTCAGAATTCATACATCCCATACAATATGCTGCTCCATTTGGGAAAATTGCATTAAGAAACTCTATTTCTTCCTGGAAATTCTGGTGTGGGTACCCTTAGGGAGAAGGCTTCATGAAATTCTCAAAAGAATAAAAGAAGCTTTGTATTGAGTCAAACCCACTGTAGTGCCTAGCAAGCTTCCACAGGTGAACCAGTGCTTTCAGCAAGAGAGTGGTATCACTTGTCTTCAAAATGAAACGTTTCTAGGAGACAAACATGCTACTCTCACTGAGTACATAAGCTTCCTGCTTGTCGGTTTTTGTCACACTTAACGATTGAATGTTGCACATCCCTCAAAAGTATGTCCCACTTGGCTGGGCGCGGTGGCTCACGCCTGTAATCCCAGCACTTTGGGAGGCCGAGGCGGGCGGATCATGAGGTCAGGAGATCGAGACCATGCTGGGTAACACGGTGAAACCCCATTTCTACTAAAAATACAAAAAATGAGCCGAGCTTGGTGGCGGGCGCCTGTAATGCCAGCTACTCGGGAGGTTGAGGCAGGAGAATGGCGTGAGCCTTGGAGGCGGAGCTTGCAGTGAGCCGAGATCGCACCACTGCACTGCAGCCGGGGGGACACAGCGAGACTCCGTCTCAAAACAAAACAAAACAAAACAAAACAAAACAAAACAAAAACAAAAACAAAATTATGTCCCAATCAGATCTTGGGATAGTGCGAAAATCTCCAGATCCTTGGTTTGCGTTGGGCTGCTGCCAGGAGAACCAAACCTCCAGCAGCTTGTCGGTCCCTTCGGAAAAATGTACAGCTTCCACCACCATGAGACTGGCGAACAATCAACAACCACAGAAAATCAACTAAATTAAACCTTTTCTTCCGCCTCTGCAGCTGCCGCTGCCGCTGTGAATTGTTCCAGCTGTGTTACAAAAGTTCAGGTTCCTTTTTTTTTTTTTTTTTTAAAAAAAAGACTAATAAAACAGTCGGACGTGGTGGCTCAAGCCTGTAATCCCATCACTTTGGGAGGCCAAGGCGGGCGAATCACGTGGTCAAGAGATCCAGACCATCCTGACCAACATGGTGAAACCCCGTCTCTACTAAAAATACAAAAATTAGCTGGGCATGGTGGCAGGCGCCTATAATCCCAGCTACTTGGGAGACTGAACCAGGAGAATCGCTTGAACCCCGGAGGCGGAGGTTGCAGTGAGCCAAGATCACGCCACTGCACTCCAGCCTGGCGACAGAGCCAGACTTTGTCTTAAAAAAAAAAAAAAAAAAAGACTAGTAAAATTTTCCCGGCTTTGTGTGAGTGAAAGTTGAACATGAATCTTTTGGAAACAGAGGCAGATACAGTTCAGTCTCTTGTATATCGCTGCTTCCCTGTCAGAGAGACTAGAGCGAATGCTAGCCTCCCAGCCATACTGTATAAGGCGAGACTCATTTTCTACTGCAACACAGTTTGGGTCCAATACAAATTAAGAGAACAAGAAATTTGGCCTAAAAATGGTTTGTTACATTATATTACTATTTTGCAATTCAACTTATTCTGTAAAAAGGAAGGAGAACGAAGAGAAATCCCTTATGTATAGGCTCTTATTGCTCTCTACTAGGATCCTGACTTAAGGGACACCTGTAGGATTTGCCTTGCTCATGTTATATCCAGACACTAAAAAGCCATACTAGATACCCTAGATAATCTCCTCCTAGCTACTCCCCATAGAAGGCCCATGTGCCCCCCAGCCTGAAGTCTCTTCAGTGCCCCAGTTCTGAGGAGGGTAATCTCACCAGTTCCACAGCACAGGATTCCACCTCCCCTTCCCCTTATTAAACTATCGCAAGCCTACATCTCACCCTGCCCAAGGAAGTAAGCCCAACCAGTATCATCAGGAGTGGGGTCTCATATCAGCCCCTAAAATTGAACCTGTGTTCATTGTGAGACGTAGCTGATAGAGATTAGTGGACAATCAGAATACATGTGTATGTTTTTTTTTTTTTCTCTACATCTGATTTGGCTTTATGCATGGAGAAATTTGGCTGGTTTTTAGAGGATGCAGGGAAGTTTGTAGAGAAGTTTGTGAAGTTGACCATGTCCTTTGACTTAACTTGGCATGATAGGCAAATATTGTCCACCTGCTCTATCATAGAGTATAAACAAATGATTCTGGGTACTGCCCATAAAAATGCAGGTAGAATGCTTATAACCAAGGCCATGCCATTTATCATATGGGGGGAGATGCAGTTCCAGATCTGGAGCCTCAAAGAGATTACCAGAGGAGTTGCCAAGATTTTGAATGAAGAAATCATATGGTAACTTGTTTAATAGCAGGCATGAAAAAGTGTGTGGTTAAGCCAGTTAATTATGACAAGGTTAGAGATGTAACTTTGAAAAGGATGGAAATCCTGCTTTATTTCAGAGCTGTTTGGTTGAGGCATTCAGGAATTATACTAATACAGACCCAGACTCCCTGGAAAGGTATGCTTTCCTGGATATGCATTTTATTACTCAGTCTTTCCTTGAGATTAGAAGGAAGCTACATAAGGCAGAAACAAAACCTCAAACCCGCATGGGCCAACTTTTTTTTTGTTTTTGTGAGACAGAGTCTCACTCTGTTGCCCAGGCTGCAGTGCAGTGGCATGATCTTGGCTCACTGCAACCTCTGCTTCCTGGGTTCAAATGATTCTCCTGCCTCAGCCTCCTGAGTAGCTGGGACTATAGGCATACACCACCATGGCGGGCTAATTTTTTTGTATTTTTAGTAGAGATGGGGTTTCACCATATTGGCCGGGCTGGTCTCGAACTCCTGACCTCAAGTGATCCACCTGCTTCGGCCTCCCAAAGAGCTGAGATTCCGGCCGGGTCAACTCTTAAACATGGCCTTTGGAGTTTACAACAGTAGGATCTGGGCAGAGGAGGCAGAGAAAACCAAAAGAAATACTCAAAACACACAGTTCCTGGTAACTGTCTTGAGCTCCCTACCACCTCAGAGTTACACATCCTGAGTAAGTGCCATGAGATTGGCATCTGGGATGCATAAATGAGAGCCTGACTCAGTGGCCCCCTGAACCAAAGTCAGTGTGCCCTCTGTAAGCAAGAAGACCACTGGAAAAGGGCTGCCCCAGGCTCTGAAGGGGTCAACCAAACCCATAATAGCCAAGAGAGCAGAGGACTCATGGGGCCTGAGGTCCCCCACAGCTCCCACTGGACATCTTACTATCTCCACAGAGGAGCTTCCGGTAACCCTTGACATAGCAGGTAACAATACTAAGTCCTTGTTGGATATGAGTCAGCTTCTCAGTTCTGACCCATTTCTCAGGGGCATTATCTTCTTTTACATCTTGAGCACTTTACTGTTTAAAAATATGTCCCTTATATGGTTTAAAAGGGGGAGGAACCCTTGGTTCTAGGAACTCCCCATCCCTTTCATAGAAAATTTGTGAATAACCCACCCTTTATTTAGCATATAATTAAGGAGTAGCTATAAATATAGTTAGTCAGCAATCCATGAGTGCTACTCTGCCTGTCGGGTAGCCCTGCTCTGTCTATGGAGCAGCAATTTTCCTGTTCTCTGTTGTTCTAATAAACTTGCTTTGCTTTTACTTTACTCTGTCACCACCCTTGAATTCTTTCCTTCCTACCTGAAGCCAAGAGCCCCAATTTTTGGGTTTGCCTGCATCAATTTCATCTTCAAAACAACCCTATAAACTAGGCATTATTGCTTACCTATTTTATACATATAAAAATACTGGGGCTCAGAAAGGTAAATTAACTTGCCTAAGATCACATAAATAGTGAGCAACTCAGTTCTAAATACCTAGTCTACAAGCTTAAACAACATGCTACACTTTGTCTCCAGAATAAATGGATCATATTGATGCAAACATTCCATTCTCCTTGAATTATATTTCTCACTATAAATGAACAAATAGGCCTCCCAATCATACTTGCAATTGGAATAATATAAGTTTGTGAATGATTTGGAAACCAGCAACTGTCAGTACTAGGAAACATAGATAGTGAGTATAGATAGCTTTGTCTAAGCTTGATTGTGAAATAAATGAAAGAGATATGGAACTAGTTTGCAATGCAAGTGTATTAAAGAAGTTTCTGTTGCTCTTAGAGTTTTTTAAAAAAATTATGTAAACATAAATATGTCAGCTAAAGACAATGAGGCAAAGGACTACATCAGGGAAAAGAGGGGAAATCAAGGGAGCAAAGGACTGGAGGAGGTGGCAGCTCGCAAATTCAAAGTACAGGCAGCAGGAATAACTTTGGATGGGAGAAACCCTGTTTCACTAAGAAATGGAAACAGATGCAGATATTGCAGGAGAAGAGAATGCTGGAAAAAAGATGCTCTCCATGTTCTCAGTGAAAAAGAAGGAAATGTCTTTGCTGAGAGTGAAGGTGGGGATGTAAAAAAAGAGGACTTGAGGAAAGTGACAACAGTTGCAAAAGCTGCTCTGGGAGAGGAGTGTGATCCTAGGAAAACTATTGGGTGGTACAGAGGCCCAGCTGAGGTTGGAAAGTAGAGATCTGCAGGGGCAACACTCTGGACCATTTTGTGATTTCTCTCCAGCAACTCTCCAGTGATGTAACTTTGAAAAGGTTTTTTTTTTTTTTGGAGACAGAGTCTTGCTTGGTGGCCCAGGCTGGAGTGCAATGGCACAATGTCGGCTCACTGCAAACTCTGCCTGCTGGGTTCAAACAATTCTTTATCTTCTGCCTCCCAAGAGACTGCAATTATAGGCAAGCACCACCATGCTTGGCTATTTTTTTTTTTTTTTTAGTAGAGAAGGGGTTTTGTCATGTTGCCCAGGCTGCTCTCAAACTCCTGGCTGCAAGCAATCCACCCGCCTCGGCCTCCCAATGTTGGTATTACAAGCATGAGCCACCGCACCTGGCTTCTCTCTAGCAACTCTTGACAACCTGATATAGGCATTGTTCCCAATGCCTGTTAGTGGGAATATAATTGTGTTATGTAGTTTAAGGCAGAAGGATAAAGACAGAAGGGGTTGAGAGGCTGTTCATGGCTTAGACTAGATAGAGAAAGGGTTGAAATGAAAGATTATAGATTGGAAGGAAAAAGGAATCAAGACACA